AGATAATTTCCTCTAACAACTATTCCATAGGGAAAAGATTGTCATCAGTCAGTTTCAGGATGCTATAATTCTTTAAAACTGGGCAAAGGGGGCTTGAGGCTTAATGGTAATGGATAGGCTTATGTTTCAGACACTGGGTTCCGTCCTCAACGTTACAGAAAAAAAAAAAAACAACTAAGCTAGTGAAGAAAACTGTATTTCTTCTATCTGACCAAACACAGTTGCATAAAAACAATAAGGAGTAGAAATACACCTTTAAGAAAGGAATGGATTATGTGCAAAATTAAAAAGAAGCCAAGTCAGACACAGGAGCTCCAAACCTATAATCCCAGTATTTAGATGCAGAGGCAGGAGGATTGCTTCAAAGTACAGCCTGCATCACATAAAGCACTTCGGCCTGCCAAGGTTTCACAGTAAGGCAGAAATGAGCCAAAAGATTTGGGTTATTGTAAGCCATCACAAGAAGCTCATATGAGGTTGTAGATTTGATTAAAATATTTTAATCAAAAAATTACATTTATATTCTTTACAAGGTTTCTCTATGTAGGCTTAGCTGTCCTGGAACTAGCTCTGTAGACCAGGCTGGCCTTGAACTCTCAGAGATCTGCTTGACTCTGCCTCCAGTGTGCCTGGATGAACCATCACCAGAGAAAGAGGAAAACAATAAACGCTTCTGTACTAATTTAAAAGGTATTTACAAGGGTAAATACCTTTCCCCTTGCAGGAATAGAGGGATGGATTCAAAGCATACACACTATACCAGTATCCTGAAGGAGCATGGTGGGTGTGTCTATTACATAGTCAACAGTACGTATTTGTTTTCAGGAATGTAGAGAATTATAATCATAGAAGTCAAAATGTCACATAGGTTACTGGCCTGTATAACAATGTAAACAACTGATGTCCAGTCATAAAAAACAAAGGGAAAAATGTTAATTGAAAAAAGCTTCATTATAGTTTTGAACATACTGAATTTGAGGTATATGAAGCACATTCAACACCAGTAAAGAATCAGAATATCAAGTATTTTCACAAATAACCCTGATAGCAATCCTATACGTGAGATATTTTCATAACTACTTACAATACTGGAAAGTAAATTCAAACGGGCTTGATTTGGTTCAATACAAAATTCTCCCATTCACCAATAGTAATTTAGCAAACTGCCTACTATCATAACTATGACTTTACATTTCATAAACTAAATGTGCAATATTTTAGCAAAAGCCAAGATCTCTGCCCTTTATGACAGTGGTTCACAACTTTGTTGCTAAACCTCTCTCCAAAAAAATATTACGTTATGATTCATTAACATATTCATAACAAATTACATAATGATCATAACAGTAGTAAAATTATAGTGATGAAGTAGCAATATGAGCAATTTTATGCCTGGGGCCACTACAACATGAGGAACTGTGTTAAAAGGTCACATTAGGAAGGTTGAGAACCACTGGTTTAAGACAAAAATTAATCTGACTGTGACTCATGATGCTGACTGGACTAAGCGAAATAGAAAAAAAAGTATGTAGAGCTATTAACAATATGCAGGATGTGAACTGGTCAAACAGAGTTTGACTAAGAATGATTACTTTTTTAAAAAAAGTAATTAACTTATTTATTTTTATTTAGACAAGGTCTTGTTATATACCTTCGTCTGGCCTGGAACTCACTAAGTAGATCAGGCTGTCCTCTGACCAAAAGAGATCCACCTGCCTCTGCCTCCTGAGAGCTGGAATTAAAGGAGTGGACCACCATACCTGACTACTAAATTATTATTATAAAAATGAAAAGCAGCATTTAGCAGAAACAAATGAATGATTCAAAGACATTTCTTATCAGCACTAGGCTACTGTTGCACACCTGTCACCTCAGGACTTCGGAGGCAGAGGTAGGAGCATCTCAAGTTCAAGTCAAACCTGGGATACAGCGAGATCCCCCATCTCAAAATAACAAGGCCAGGAACTGCAAGGTATAGGTAAGAAGAAGTGTGCTTCCTTGATACTTGCAAGACCTTGGTTGAATCTTCAGCACTGAAGGGAGGGAAGAGGCCAGCACTTCTATATTTTAAAAGTCAAGATAAATGGAGCATTATAAACCAATCAAGGAATGAAAAGAACAACACGGAAAGGTAAGCTCAGTTTTCTAATAGACTGATTTTTAAGTAGTAATGGAACACCAAACTAACAATCTAGAAAATTATCAGTAATTCATTAATTACTGATTAATTATCAGATAAATTATGTGTTTAGTATGTTCCAGGAAAAGTTCTCATCTTTATGAAGTTTATACCACTCAAGACCATCAATTGATGAACTTATCAAGAAAACGAACAAACAGCAGGGAGTAGAAAATGACAGATTCTTTAAGAGAAGGCAATGAGGAAAGCCTCTCTCAGAACATGAATTTTGAATAGAGCCCCAAAATGATGTGATGGACATCACAACTTTAAATAACATAAGCAGAGAAAATGGCCTATGAAGCTAGAGGAAGGAATGCTTGGAATGCTCAGATCCAAGAAGCCTGACATGACAGTCAGTCCAAGGAACACAATCGTCTCTCTCTTTATGTGGATAAATAGAAAATTACCAGAGATTTCTGAACAGGTGGGTGACCTTATCCAGTACTTTTTAAAGACTAATGACTTAAAATGAGACCTTATTGGAGGAACAAAAGAGTAACAAGAAATCCTACCCCAGAGTCCCAGCCACAGTCTCTGTCTAAAAGCGGCTGAGATGGTTGAGTAGGGCAATACTGAGGTAACAAGATTGTGGATGGACGTTAAGTAGAGCCAAAAGACCTTACTGACAGAATGGAATGGGAAAGAATCAAGGATGACTCTGAGACATCAGAACTGACTAACAGGAAATATCAATGACTCAATCCACTGAGATGGGCTAGGATGCCAGAATGAGAAGCTAGAGGGAAACAAGTTTCTGACACGCTTGTTTGTAGACTCCTATCAAAATCCATTGGTAATAACGAGTAGATGGATATCCAAACCTCCAATACATAGCAAGACTATTTAAACTTGTGAGTCACTGGGCTCACAAAGTGTTTAAAGCTAAGAGAGTAACTTTTTTTTTGTTTTAAAAATGTCACTTCAAAATTACAAAAAAACAGAGACTTTTCTATGTGCTTTTAAAACACTGACTTAGTTATACCAACCCTGTAAGCTAAGAAACATTATAATTCTTATACTCCTTATTTAAAGGCAAGAAAACAAAAGTATAGAATATCCAACCAACTACCTCAAAACCACACACTACTCCTGAACAGCTAACCTGAAACTTGAATTGAAGCAAATCACTCCAAATAAGCCTCCTAAGGCTCTAAGAGAACAAAGTGTCAATGGAGCAGGTTTTATACTGAGTCCAGGTTGCTAAACATTAGATAAGGGGGAAAAAATACACACACACACACACACACACACACACACACACACACACAGAGGGAGAGAGAGAGAGAGAGAGAGAGAGAGAGAGAGAGAGAGACTAAAAAGCTAAGCAGAAAACTTCTAGTTTGGTGACTTAAAAATCTATGGAAAAATTTAAGACCTTAATTTAAAAAAAAAAAAATGAAGAACTTGACATTTGGAATTGGTAAATACAAATCAGTAGGAAGCAAGATGCCATTACAACTAGGTCCATTAGGCCAGGCGCAGACCTCCCAGCCCCTGGAAGAAACCTGTCTCAAAAAACAAAAAACTAAATAAATACTAGATATATATGTACTGGGAACAGAAGCACCAAGTATGTTTCATTTTAAGCATTTGTCCTGGACACTGATGTAGTTAAGTTGTAAGGAGGCCAACGAGCAGTCATGTGATGGTCTTCATAGTTCGGTGTCTTAAGTCAGTGAACACTGTGTTCTGTAAGAACGGGTGCTAAGCGCTTAGCAAACACAACTTTCCAATTCATTACTTATTTAGCATTATTGATGATTTCTAGCGTTCCATCCACTGCTCAGATTCGGGACATTCATTGAAATCACCATGGACCAAGCAGGAAGTGGCAGTAATCTGATTTCCAGTGAGATGCTATAAAGAGTTCAAAGTGCAAAATTTAAAATTCACCTCTGAAAAAACCAAACTCATAAAGCAACTCTCACAAGTTATCCTTACATCCTTTTACTATAGTGATGGCTAAACAAGTTTTGTGGGATTGTGGTGTTGGGTTTGCCTTCTACACTGTTGCCAGCGTAGTTCTACTTGAACTCAAGTCACCCCAAAATTCTCTTTCAAGAAATTCAAATTCCATTATGACCTTAAGGCCAGAACGAGACAGGTAGTCTGCTAAACTGATATGATTGATATCTAATACCAATAATTCAGAAAACAACAAAAATTCAACATTTCAGACCCTTCCTAGATGCAAAATCCTCTTCCACATTTCCCCAAGGTAGAGAGGTCCAGTCTGAGGAAGAAGGCATCCCAAGGCGTTTCAGTTGTTGCCAAGTGGTCCATCTTCATCTCTCTCAATATTTCAATCTACCCATATCCAGGCCTCTCTCCTCTAGGGACCGTTATAAGAGCAATTAAAATAATAATAATAAATAAAAAACCTAAGTAACCTGACCTAAAGCATTTTCCCAGTTCCCGGAGCTTTCCATTGGGCCAGGCAAATACTTTGGCGATAGGGCTTATAAGCAATCTGCTCAAGCCAAGATACGCCCCAGCCCTTCACTCTTCTCCTGAACCCGAGCCCCAGCGGCAGATGGCTTCAACGGCTGCTCCTCCCGAGGCAACCCTCTACCCCAAATCCCTTAAGCAATTCCTTCGAAGCCCCCCCACCCAGTCCCGTGCCGAGGCCCACTACGGAGGTTCTCTGTCCCATTTCTTTCCAAGAGGATGCGTCAAAGTCCTCAACCCTCTCCCGGCTCCGGAGAGAAGAACGTGGGCTCCTTGGCCTTGCAGCCCGGGGGTAACGCGGGGGGGGGGAGGTGGCGGCGTGGGCTCGCAGCCTGGCGGGGTACGGACGGACGACGGGGAAAACACTTACCAACATCCTGGTCGAAAGGATTGGTGGCAAAGAGAGGCATGTCCGCTGCGTGCCGAGGTGTCCCCAGGGGCTGCCCCTCGACACCGCGGCCGTTAACGCACGACAGAGAAAGGAGGCCGCTCAGGTACAAACACAGCCACGGGGACGAGCGGTCCAGGGTCCTCTCGGCCCCTCCTCTCTCCCACCCCAGCAACAGAGGCGGCGGCGGCAACAGCGGAGAAGCGGCGCAGGCCCCCGCGCGGGGCGTGTCGGGAATCCAGGCGACCTGAGCGCTGCCTGTTCCAGCTCGAACAAGAACCCTGCCTTTCCGCCGAGACCCACGCGAGGAGCCTCCTCCACTGCTTCCTCTGATGACCTCCCACAGGTCCGTGGGATTAGCGGCTATGTTCTGGGTTTTTCCATTGCTCGGGCGTCTCGGGAGGACGAGGTCCTTCAGGCGCACCGAGGCCGACTAAGCACCTCTGGAGTGAATTAGAGACTGAGAAAGAAAGAGGGTTCGGTTTGGGGTCTAGCGCAGCCTTGATTTTAATTCCGTGAGTTCATTCGGTGGGTTGTTGTCATATAGTAATCCCTCTAGAAGGTCAGACGGTACTTCGGGCTATCCGAGTAAAATGTTCGGTGTGAGGGGACTAGGAAGTTGCTGGGATGGAGTCATGTGAGCTGGTGGAACTGGCTGGAATCCCTTGGAGGGGAGTGTCAAGGCGCGCAGCCTCCGGAGAGGCTGAGGCAACTAATATTAGCTGGCTCCTTCCCCAGCCTGACATCAGAGGGAAGCTTTCTGGGTGTCGGCACCGACTGACTAAACGTGCAGTCACTGAGCCGCTGCAGTGACTGGAAGATTAGTCCTTCGCAGCCCGAGATAACCACACACACCCAACAGCAGGAAAAAACAAGACGAAAAATGGAACCAGACGTTGATTCTTGCAACTTAAAATATTGATTTGGTGCTCTAGTTTGTACATGTGTATCACACACACACCACCCTCTAAATCATGTGGAAATATTAAGGATCATCTCTTGGAAATATTACATAAAATTAGAGAGCTCGTCTTGCATATACAGGGAAATTATGTAAAGTATGTCCAAATAAGAACATACAAATGTAGCTTATAAACAGTTACATGTCAACAACAGGATTGGCATGACAGTACAAGAAAAATGCAGTCCAATTTTGAAGAGACGAGAAAATTAAACTAGTGGTTAATGTTGTCATTTAAAGAGAATAGAATCCCCTGAGCGGTGGTGGTGCACTCCACTAAAGAGGCAGAGGCAAAACATCTCTGAGTTTGAGTCAGCCTGATCTACCGAGCATGTTCCAGGACAGTCACAGCTACACAGAGAAACCCTGTCTCAAACAAGCAAACCAAAGATAAAAGAATCCAAGGAGTGGGGACTGTAAAGTTTCTGGGTGAGGTACGAATTCACACTATTCCTAAGAGAAACAGCGGAATGTATATAAGGAGCTTTGGAAAATATGCCTTTGGTCCCAACAATTCTGATGTTAAGAACTTACATAAAAAAATTCTTTAAAAACATGAACCAATGGGAGGAGGGGCTGAAATGGAAACTTTTATAATTTAATAAAAAAAAAACATGGACCAAGATATTAATGACTGAATTGACAGATATAATATCAAAGCACTGATAACCACTAAAGTGTCCGACATTGAAGAGATTGAACAAACTCATCTCTTTGTGTCTGTTTCCTCATTTATAAGAAACAAATAATAAGAAACTATCGAGGACTGGAAAAATTAGTGGAATTAAATCCCCTCTAATATTGCCTAGCATGTAGTAAGCACTCAAGTGCAATCACTAGTTAGGATTGTTTTGCTCAAATAAATCAGAGTGTCCGTGATATGAAAATTGTTTAGCCATTGAAAGTAACACTAAAGATCTGTACTTGCATAGATAGACATCTGAGTAAATAAATTTTAAAAGATTGTAAAGAATGGCTCAGGATGAGGCTCATTGATGCAGTACTTGTCTAGAATACAGGAGGTCCTGAGTTCAGTGCTTAGCGCTGAAAAAAGTCTACAAATACATGTGAAATAAATTCTGGCAATTTTTAACAGTCTGAACGAAAATATGAGTGACATGGTTATTTTTGGACAATACCACCCTGAATTTTTGTTGTTGTTGTTCATGAATTTTATTTTTTTCTTTCAAAAGGGGTGGGCAGGTGTTAAAATACAATATGGCAAATTTCATGTGTTAAAGCCACCATTCTTTTAACATTCTGAAAGGCCAATAATCAGATGCTTGTATGTCATTATGACAAGTGAAAAGTCTTTCTTTCTACTATTGTATGGGAAGCAGAGCATTGGCTGTTAGTAGGCCTGCTCTTGATCACTGGGCTGACAGAATTAGGTGTCAGCTTACCCACTTACAATGACGGGACTACGCCTTAGGCACTTTATCATAACTGCTCTGTTTCAGAGCCAGATGGTTATGAAAATATATTTGGACATGCCTCATGCTCCATAAATGAAACTGAATTGTTGTGTTGCTAATGAAAAGCTACTATTCAAGCTTTAATCATCAATATGTGAGTGTTGGGAATGACATATGTTAGTATTGATAACATTAACCATGTGTTCTGACCTAAAGGAGTGACGCTAGCTATTAGGGATCTTTGTGACGTAATAGGTTATAAAGTAGAGGTTTTAAAAATAAGAATGTTGTTTGTACAAGAAAAGCCAGTTATAAAAGGTGGCATGAATTGGTGTTTTGAGGTTAGCTTGTCATATTATCTAAAATATTGAAATTGCTAGTTTTATTTTTAATACCCAAAAAAGACATTTTAAAGACTTGATTGCACGCTTCTGTGATGTGTTTAATAAATTTCATGGTTAATTTTGAAATGTTTTATTCCTTTATTCTGTTGGACTTTTAGAACTATTCTATATTAAAAACAAAGATACCTGTGAGTAAAATGAAGCTGCTCTCGGAAAAATTTCTGTTGTTATATTTTCCTGGTTAATAAACTTAACCAACTGATCTGTAAACTGTCCTCTCTAATACAGCCAGGGTGGTTTTACTAATATATGAATGTGTTATCATTTCCTTACAGTCCTTATATAATTCTTCAGTCAGCCAATCATTCGATAAGTATTAGCTTCTTATAGATTTGAGGTATCTATATGCTAGAAATATAGGATACACATCAAGAAGAGAGTCCTTAAATAATTAAGTCATTGGCTGATTGTGGGTGTGTAAAGAGTCCCCTGCCTTAAAATTAATCCACATTTTTAAAGTAGAACAAATATAGATGTATTAAGAAAAGGGAAGAAAGAACATTTAAGAGTGGGAGGAGCTCCAAGGGAGGAATAGCTAATCTTGATTAAGCCCTTAATGAACTGGCCTGATCACCCTGTGTCTTCATGGACGTTAGTGTTTTCCAGACTACCACAGCTGTCCAGATGTCCCATACCTTCCATGACCTGAAGCAAACAACTTTTACCCTCTTGTTCTATTTAGAAATCTCTGGACCTTCTCCGAATCTTCACTTAGATCTCACTGACAAAAGCCTTTCCTAACTCGTTACCTGGCCAGTTAATACTGCATAATAAATTTTTGTTAATTGAGTGGTCACTTCTATCACAGCACTCAGTGGTGTAATATTTGTTCCAGGTATTGATTGCTTCACAACACCATCTAAATGTAGTCTCTTAAAAACAATGAGTTCTTTTGCTTCCAAATCAACTTTGGTCAGACTTCAGCAGGGACAGCTTCCCTCTCCGCCATACAGCATCGACAGGAGCAGTGCAAATGCCTAGGATGGCTACAGCACATTTTCAATATTTAGAGAACTTGCTCAGTGTGTATCTGGCAATAGATGCTGGAATTCGGCTGAGTCATTTGGGGCTGTCAGCCTCACCAACTGCACAGAACTTGCTATGTGTCTGCTTGGCTTCTCCCAGCATATTGGATGAATATAAGTCAGAATATTCCAGGAGACAGGAGGAGAAAGCTACCAATTCCTTCAGATGTGGACCAGGAAATGGGGACAGCATCACTTCAGTTATGCCCCACTGAAGTCACAGTGTCTATATTCAAGAACAGAGAACAAAACTCATCTTTTGGTGAAATGGCTTTTAGAAAATTGTGGGAGGGTGTAAATTCTACCACAATATTGTAACCTCTATGTTTATGTAAGCATTATATTTTGAATTGTTTATCTATATGTATGGGCTCTTATAGTTAGTTGTTCCATGGATAATTATTAAATAGAGTAAATGCAATCTGCTATGATTAAAATGTCATACTACTATTACTGGCCATAAGGAGGTAATGAAATCTGGACTTACTTTATTGTAAGAAAAAGCTGGGGAAAATACATGTGTTATGGATTAGATATAAAATGTGTCTTGAAGGCTCATGTAGTCACACTGGTGATGCTTTTGAAGGTGATCAGATCATGAGGATGCTAACCTCATCAATGGATAATGTTCATAGCTGAATGGGAAATGAGATCTAACCGGAGGAAATATATCTTCAAAATCCCTTCTTTGTCTCTCTAGCTCTGTTTCATGATACAATTGAATGGCAGCTGTGTGTTCTGCTACTCATAGCCCGAAACAAGAGCCAGCTAGCCATGGGCTGAGACCTCTGAGAGTGTTAACCAAAACAAATATTTCTTCCTTTTAAGTTGCTTATGCCAGGCATTTTGTCACAGTGACGAAAAAGTAACACAGTAAGTTATGGTTGATTTCAAGCATGCGTCAATGGCAGTATAAAACGAATTTCAAGGGGGCAGAAAATGTGCCCTGAACCACATAACAGTCAATAACTTCCAGCCCAGAACTGGTTTTCTGAACTGTGGGCTAGACCCCAAAAGTAGCCCAAAATGGTCATAATGTACTGAAGAGAGAAAAAAATCAGAATTGGGGGAGGCCAAGAGACTAGCAGCCAGGTTGGAGGTTTCAGCCCATGCTCTTCCATTCATCCTTTTTTGAGGTAGCATATCTTGGCAAGAGCAGGCGGCAAAACAGAATCACACATTTCATAGTAAGAAAGCAAAAGACAGGAAGTATCTGGAGTTTCACTATCTCCTCTCAGTGGACTAAAGATGTGGCAGGGCCCACTTCTAATATTTCCGCCACCTCTGATAATTTGAAGCTGAGGCCCAAGCCTTTAACACACTGACACTTGGGGTGGACATGGCCCAAACTGTGGAGCCCAAAGGACACAATAAATGGACACCTCTGTAGTGGCCAGGTTTTAATA